TGTGTGTGTGTGTGTGTGTGTGTGTGTGTGAGAGAGAGAGAGTGTGTGTGTGTTTGTGAGAGAGAGTGTGTGTGTGTGTGAAGACCCACTGCTGCTCACGTATGAGTAATACACCTCTGCTCAATGTATATGTCAAACACGTGCTGTTCCTACCGGTTCACTGCAGATGCACACACACACACACTCCTGCACACTGCATATTACGACCAGGGCCTTTCCAGTTATGACTGTGCAAAACAGGGGCGATCAAACCCATCCGCACAGATGAATGTTACAGCTTTCATTTTACATGGAAACACATATTTTTTATAGAGTGCTATCTATCTATTTATCTATCTACACCCCCAGTTAAAGGTCTAAATTTGTTTCTCATGACCTTAAAACTTGTTGATTTTAAGCTTCTGGTTAAATTAGTTTAGTAGATATGTTTTGTGTGGGTGTATATATATATATATATATATACAGTGGGGAAAAAGGTATACCTATGATGAAAATTACAGGCCTCTCTCATCTTTTTAAGTGGGAGAACTTGCACAATTGGTGGCTGACTAAATACTTTTTTTCCCCACTGTATATATATATACATATAATTTATTTAATTGTATTTTTGTATTATATTACATTTGTGTGTGTATATATTTAGTTGATATATTATTGCATTTTATTATACATACATATACAGTATATATATATACATACATACATACACACACACCAAAAAATTATATATAAATACAAAATTATATCTACTAAAGTAAAGGGAGCAAGCTGAAAGAGAGTGAGAGATTTTTTTCTTTTATTACTTATAATATTTATATTATATAATACTTATATTTTTATTACTTTATGCTTTTACATGTATAGTGAAGCAGAAGCATCATGAAGTGTTCATCACACACGCTAGTGTTTAAAAGCATCCCATGATGCACCTCTCCAGAGAGATCCGAGCTGAGATCTAAAAAAATAAACTGCTCAGCTGTAAGAGTTTTCATTTGCGTCACGTTTTCATCATTTCTATGCGTGTTATTTCAGAATTTGCATTACTTCACCATTATTTTAAAATGTAAATATTAGGGAATGAGCAGATGTCATCGTCATGTAGATCAACTTTTTAGTGTTATTTATTTTTAGCTCGCCATTTTTAATGCATTAATGTGCAGTTTTTTGTTTTTTTTTATTATTAACAGAATGATTTTTTAATGTTCTAATTATGAACTAAATGAAAATTGCATAAGAACATTACAGTGTTTTCTTCTCTCATCTCATTTTACTGAAAGACGAAATTGTCTGAAACATTAATGCATCCTGCATTTTTAAAAATTGATAACAAATCGGACCCACGTTCTAAAGATTTAAGTGAAGTTAAGAAACGAATATTTGCCGCAAGCATGCAGCATTGACACATATTCGACGTCTTCAGCTTGAAAACCCTGATGCAGATCTTCTAATCTGCGTGTTCTGATCGTCTCAGGAAACAGTTCAGTACTATGCAAACTTCAAACGTTTACTTTTCCTTTTCAAACGCAGATTGTGGTTACAATGAGGCAGAAACATCAAGCGGGAATTGGAGATGAACAGCAGTGGGAGTCGCGGTGGATGGAGGTGTTTCAAAACTTTCGTTTCTTGCCAACACAGATCCACACACACTATGTATCATTCTACACTCATTTACCCCACTATCTGACCTAAAAAGGGCATTACTAGGCATTAAACCTTGAATTATGAGTGTGAAAGTGTGCCTTAAAATACAAAATGCCATTAGGAAGCCATTCT